ATATATAGTAGGAGCAAGAGCGACAATGATGCTTTATAAAGGAACTGCAATATGAAACCTGTGTGGATACGAGAAAGAAACTTATTATAAATACTTCGACGCTTCTCTGTAGATTCTCTCTCTCTCTCTCTCTCTCTCTCTCCATGCTTCATGCCTTCATAGATTCTGCGCGTATCTTCCTCTCTCATCCTTCTTTAGTTTTGTTATTTCATCACAACCTTGTAATCTACCATAAAAATGGTGGTAGCTACGCAAGTTAATCCAATCCGGATGGAAAAGATTCGAGAAGTAGATATTCCAGTGATCGATCTTTCTTGCAGTCGATCGAAAGTGGCAAAGCTCATTGTAAAGGCTTGTGAAGAATATGGTTTCTTCAAAGTCATTAACCATGGTGTCTCTCATCATATAACAAAGGAAATGGAAGATGAAAGTTTTGAGTTCTTTGATAAACCCTTACCCGAAAAGGAACTAGTTGGATCCGCCAACCCCTTTGGCTATGGTAGCAAAAACATTGGCCTTAGTGGAGACACGGGAGAGCTTGAATACCTTCTTCTTCCAACTAACCAAAACGCCATTGCTCAGACCTCCAAATTCAGGTAATCAGTTTCATAAATTATTATTATTATTATTATTATTATTATTATATTTTCTGTTTTTTAGACATATATGTGGTTTTACCTGTTGGTATGATGAATTTAACGACAGAAAATATTAATAACATATAAATGTTTTTGTTTCATTGTTACCAGCTATGCATGGGCATCCTTAACCAAAACTCACAAAGGTTATCATTTAAGCAAAGCTCTGAGCATAAAAAATTTCAATAACAACTCACAATGTCGGCTTACTCTATGGGTAACAATGTAAATGAATAATAAAATGTCAAATTTAGAAATAAACATTGTCATCCTTATTTAAGAATATTATGATTTTTAAATTTATGGTATTGACTTAGAAATGGTTGGTGGGAACACGAGGTCTATCTTTCTTTTTTCCAATCAGAATCTTGGTTACCAATTTATTATTAGTTGTTCAAAGAAAGTTGTAGAATTAAATAATATTTTTTAACTATGACATGTCTTTTAATTAAGAGCAAAAGTTTATAACAGACATAAGTGGGGTTACAGTTGGTATGATGTAATATCATATTAATTAAAAAAAAAAAAAAAAATAAGTTAATGATGTTTTATATATTAACATATATGACCAACTTTGAGTGTATAAAAAGATAGAACCAGAAAGAAAACATATTAATTTTAGGTTATTACTTTTACAAAATATTATGTAAAATTAATATTATTTTCCAAATTGAGTTATCTTAAAACTATAACTCATGCTCCTATACCATAATTATTACTGATTTTTCAAAACGCCTATCAAAAATCTAGACCGCAAAAATTCTTTTTCATTTGAAAAAGAAATTGGCTGTCGTGTATTTCTTTATTAGATTAAAAAAAATCTTGTATTTCTGCACATAAGTACCATGGGAGAAGCAAACCAGTGATCACATGGGGTGACTCGTGCTCTTCTTATGCAGTAGCCTATTTAATCTTTAGTACGACCTATTCTAGCA